AAACAAGCAAAAGGGTGTCAACAGATAGCGAATGCAGCCACAGTAATGAGTCACAGTGCGGGGCGCTGCTGTGAATACTGTTATCGGGTCTCACGCGTGCAAAGTTCCCAAGTAGCCAGGCGCTGCCTCCATCCCGCGATCAGCTGAACCTGAGTTGCCACCATGATTGTTAGCCGGCCACCTTTGCTGTAGCCTTCTTATGCAAGCAAGCTGTCGCTGCCAGTCCTGCAAATCACATGCCTGTATCATGCACATCAGTGAGCTAAATGAACCCAAAGAAGAGAGTGCACAGCACATCACAGGCGAGGGGAATCGCTGCTTCTTTGAAGCCACCGTCACAGTCTGTCACAGCCTGGGCCCTGTGCTACAGCATCCAACCAAATTGCTCAGCGCTGTGACCTGGCCACTGGCGCATCGCGGAGCATGCGAGCATATGAATGATTGAGAAGCGATTAACAATGAAATTGGAACGCTTAGCTAAGTTAGCCCAAGCCTGGCGCAAGCAATTTGCCCTTTGAGGCCCAGAAGCCCTCACCGTGACCCCTCCGTATCCAACATGATCACAGACTCATAACCCTGACAGCAGAACAGTCGGGAAGTACAGGCCTCAGGCATCATGTGGCGTTGCCGGATCTGTGAAAAGAGGTCAAGCGCAGCGGCCTTGATAGCAACACTTCCACAACGCAAGCGGAACAACAGCACTCTGAGGACCCATCCCAAGAAATGGCTGCCGCGCATGCTGTCAAAGCCGCATTGTACGCGACGAGCGGGGGCCTCACATACACGATGCAGGTCGGTGCGTTTGGTGGGGCAGGCAATGGCAGGCAGGCTGCCACCGAACCCTGCTTTTCTGTACATACCTTCTGCTGCTCCGCATCCCTGGCTAAGCAACTGAATGAGCCATGGTGACAATGACAAGTCACCGAGGATCCAACTCCAGACCGTGCACATTTTCCATCTTCTTCAAAAGCTCAAGGACCAGCTGCCAGCAGCTGCCTTGGCAAACTACGCAGGCATTATGCCCTACTCCTATTCCAGGGGCCCCTCGTAATTAATTGTCTTGGAACCCTTACAACCCCAATATCCCTAGGGGCAGAGATCCTCGTGTCTAGAATGCTGCAATGCCAAAGACACCAGCTTGCTGTGAATGCAGATTCACGGGGGTCCCCTTCAGGAAGTCCCAAAACGATTCTCTAAACTAGGATGGACATGTCTAAGTCTCCAAAGATCTTCCGGATTCCCAAAATCCCTGTTTGCCATACCACCTCCTGCAAGATCCGAATGAGGCCTAATACATCGCCAGGCGGATAGTTTTGT